TTACTTATCTTGATATATCTAGCTGGCACAAGAAAATAGAACTTATCGAAGATACTTTAGCTGAAACTAAAAATCTTTGTAGTCATGATACGTTTAACAAATTTTCATTATGCCAAACATCTATGGAAGTCTTAGAACAATTATATCCTAATTTGAAAAATCAAGAAACCGTTCTTAAGGAAATAATCGGACATTCTTTTGCTAATCATCGTTCAAAACGTTCTGTTATCGATGGCGTAGGAACACTGTTCAAAGTTTTATTTGGAACATTAGACATGGAAGACGCAAAACGCTATGATGACGCTATCAATAATTTAGACAAAAACGAACATGAATTAATTACATTATTGAAATCTCAATCACAAATTGTAAAAACTACTATTCATAATTTTAATAATACGGTAACCGATCTTAAGAAAAGTGAAAACATCTTTAGTAAGAATTTAGAAACTTTAGCTAATTATACAAAGAGTACTAATAATAAAATTTTAAACATTGATATGAAACAAAACATAGACGAACATCTATCATTTTTAACATTAGTCACAAGTGAAGTGAATAATGAAATATCTATGGTTATTGATGCCATATTATTCGCTAAAAATAATAATTTACATCCAATCATCATTACTCCTGAACAGTATATTTATGAACTAAAGAGAACTGTATCACATATTCCGATTCATACACAATATCCTTTGGATTTAAATATGGATAACGCATCGGATCTGCTATCGTTAGTTAACATTATTTCATATTATATGAATGAAAAACTTGTGTTTATAATTAAGACTCCATTAACTATTCAACAAACTTATGATGTGTATAATTTAGTTCCTGTACCAATTTTAAACAGAAATGATACTTATGTATTTATACTGCCTACAGAGAAATATTTTTTGATCTCTGAAAATAAAATTCATTATACAACTATGGAAAACATTAATATTTGTAAGAAATTGTCCAACAATAATAATTATATTTGTGAATTTGATAAACCTTTGTATTCAGTGTATGCTAAAGATAATTGTGAATTAACACTATTCTTGGGTACAAAAAACCAAATTCCGTCATCTTGTGATACTAGAATTGGTTTAATAAAATCAGAACAATGGTATAAACTAGGAAAAGAAAATAGTTGGTTGTTTGTAATGCCTAGTAAGGTTATTTCAACTATTTCTTGTAAAAACGAAGAACCTCATGATTTAGAATTAAAATCTACAGGTATTATAGAATTACAAAAGAATTGTAAATTGTATTCTCCTAATATTATATTGCATTCATCGAATCTAGGAATGATGTCAAACCATCTGTCTGTTCTTCCAGATTTCGATATAGTAAATGATAATTGTTGTAACAAATTAAAAAATAATACCGTCGAAGATAAGTTAAATTTTATTCCATTCAATAAATTTAGCATGAATTTCAATGATTTGAATATAGCAAGCCACAAAATTGATAAGATAAATGATTTATTGGATGAAATAAATAATGATAATGTGTTCCATAAGGTCAAGAATAATACATATTTTATATTCATATTTTT